AGCTTCAGTTTCAAAATCAAAACATTGCTTTGCTGACCGCAGACTTCCAGGCTGTTAGTCAACAGTGAATGAAGTCTCCAGTGACTACTTTTTCTTTAAAAAACCTTCCGTTTCTCTATGTGTAATATATATATATATATTAGAAAGAAAAATCCTGAAAAAAAATCAACTGTATTTGGATCTGGATAATATTTCTCTTGGGAAAACAAGTTATAAAAGAAACTTCAAAGTTTCTGGTAATGTTGGGCACGTGGATCATAATTTTATTATTCTTTAAACTTTTCAAATAAATTCATTTACTTGTTTGCCTGTATCCCGTAATTTAAAAATCATTTTAAAAATGCTACAAATTCATAGAAAACTATGTTGAGATGTATTCCTTTTTATAATGCTAAAAAGAAAAGGATTGTCTCTCCCTTAATACTTCCCTGACTAGTTCCTTCAGTGAGTAGGCAAGGAGCCTGATTCAGGATTACAAGGTCTCTTGACTAATGTACAGTAGCTGATTCCTGAAGAGGAACAAGTCCTGAATGGTGACAGCTGTCCCTTTCTGTAACTACGCCTACTGCGGCAGTTCCAAGCCACCACTGGGCTGCCACAGAATACCGAGATACTGTGATGTCTCCTCACCCAAGAGGCTCAGCATTAATGTGAGTAACCTTGAGGTCCTAGGTCAGAGTAAAATGAAGTAGGATAATTAAGAACCAATGAACCTTTGTTTTTAATACATTTTACTTAATAATAAGTTTACATAATTTAACATTTAATAATAGTTCTATTTCACAGCCCATTTATAAAGTCCCTGAAATAAAATGGTTTGCCCTTACAAGCCAGCGTGATCTGGTTCCAGTACCTGCCGCAGCTGGCACCACTGCAGGGCAGAGGGAAGTGGGGAAGGAAGACCCAGGCAATTCTCTAGGATATACTCTGAAGACAGAAGAGCAGGGTCTCCAGGAGCTAGTCAGCTGCCACTGCAGTGGTTGGCTGAGACTTCCAGGACTGCCCTCTGACCACCCACCCAGTACCATCACACTTACATCTGTAAGCTCCAGGGGGGTCTCCTTGTGCATCCCCAGACCAAACCCTCGAGAACTTTGTGGCACATCTTTAAAGCCGAAGCCACCAAACAGTTCTCCGTAGGAGCCACTGATTCAGTCTCAAGTCTTGACTAGCTTTCGTGCCAGCTCAGCCACTCCCCAATCCCAGTGGCCTTGAACAGGTCATCCCACTCATCAGTAACTGTGGAAAGTGAGTGTATCAGACTGGGGATATGACTTCACCACGGTTTCTGCCAGTTCTGAATTCCTCTTGTCTCCTGTGATCACGGAGCACCTCTGATGGTGTCCACCCCTGAGGCAGGCTCCTCAGACCAGAGGACCTAGACATCCTCAGCTCATTTCCTCTACAGAATGGAACTGTTTCCAGCCCAGTATCGGAAAGGACATGTCTGTGGGATGCCAGGGTATGTCCATATGAGGCTGGCTTGGGGCTGCCCTCCTGGTTAGAGCTCAGAGAGTGAGCCTTCCATTCTTGCCTGAAACCATCGCCTTGTCTTCTAACTGGCATCCCCCGTGGGTCCTTGTTTTTTGGGAACATGCCCACCTCTTGACTCATAAGCATATTGATGGAACATGACTTAAAGCTTTAGAGTTTATTAAGTCTCAAGTCTTCATATAGAGAAAGACTTAGGAGACCAACAAAAGAGGATTGCCAGTTCATGGCCAGTCCAAGTGCTGTATAGCTAGACACTGTCAGCCCTTTCCCAAAAAACAAGTAACATAAAAGTTAATACGGGGAAGGGGGATGAAGGCCTAGACCCACTGTGCTTGGGAAATGGCCATTTTAACCAGAACTCGTGCTGGTGTGGCATTCCTGTGTATGTGTATGTGTGCTTGTGTATTGGTTGCTGGAAATGTGTTATGCAGCTGTATGTTTTGTGTGTCAGTTTTGCCATGATTTATGGCTGGGGAAGACTAAGGGGAAGGAGGGTGGGCAGTGATCCTCGGTGAACATGTTTCTTGTTTAGTGCTTTTAACGGGAGTGCCATGTTCTCACTTGTAGAAAGTACTTAGAAAAAGCAAGCTGAAGATAAATTGTCCTCTGTACCCCAACCAAACCATATGGGTGTGTGACTGGTGGGAAAGAAGGAACTATGGCCACAGTTCCTTTGTAACTGAGCTAAGAAGGCTATTTGCTTTTAGAGTAGCATGACTTGTTGATGCCTTTTTCTTCTGTTTTTATTTATGGGGTATTGATTCATTTTAACCAAAGAGAAAGTGGTGAGGACTCTCTTGCATTCTGGCCAGTTTCTATCAGATGCAATATGTGCTCTCGATTCTCACTTCCATCACTCCATGGGTGGGATTTCTGCTCACTCAAGTTCTTTTAGAACCAACTCAAAGAATTTGTCATTGAGAGATGCTGACCAAGTACTAAGACAAACCACACTGTGGCACTTTGTAGAATACCAGTTTCTTCTTCTGAGTCGCCTGCTATCTGACAATGACAGGCAGGTCACCACATTCAGTCCTCACAAAGACCTCTGCAGTGGCTGTGGTCCACTATCAAGTCTGAGTCTGCTGCAGGCCAGACAGCACAGACAGGAGATGACCTGCCTAGAGGCCCCATCCCCACTCCAGCCGAGGTACCTGCCATCTCACAGGGATGCCTGGTTACACATCCCCAGTCAGAGTACCAGACCTCCCGTGAGTGTATACAATGGTGATGTAGGACAAGGCTCATAGTTATCTCTTAAGAGTATTGGCATGTCAGCTTAGCTGGTTTCCAGTTAAACAAAGATCAAATTCTTCTATAGAAAGATGTATCTTTACCAGCAGTCATTACAGATTGAGCATCCCCAACTCCAAATGCTCTAAAATCTCTAAACGTCAGACTTCCTTATTGGTGATATTCAATTGATAATGTCTGTGCAAATAGTCTGAAATTCTGGTCTCAGTCTCATTAGCTAAGAGCTGTCAACCTGTATTCTCATTCTACAGAGAATAAGGCTAAGGTTTGGGAGATTTGTCACTTTGCCTCAAGTCATATACATAGTAAGTAACACAGTAGGGTTAACCCTGCCCTTCTGACTCCAAATATCACACTCTTCACGAAAGGACAAGCTGTCCACTTGGTTCTGCCCAATGAAATACTTGTGTTTATCTTACTATGTGAATTACCTGCCACTGAGGACAGCTGGTCTTCCTGGAAGAAGCTGTATAGTTCAGCTGTGGTTTTGTCCACTCTCCGGCACACAGTATACCCCAATGTGAGGCACTTGGCACTGTGCCAGTTAGTGGTTCTACTTAAAATAAGAAAAAGAAGCCACAGTTCATTGCCTTCTTTTTTCTTCTGAGTACCTGTATTTTGAGTAGAGGTTTGGAGGAGAGGAGGAAAGCAGTTGAAGAGCTGAAGAACCAGATTTTCACCTGAGAATCAACGATTTCGGGTTCCTGGGTGCAAACAGTCCTCATTGCACTGAGGCTCCTTTCTCAGTCACATCATGTAAGCCATGACCATCTTATAGCGCCAGACCTAAGAACTCAGTCGGAGCGTGTGGCTTTATTCCTGTGCGGCGTAACATGGAAAGGCCACTTTGTGTATCTGGATCTTGTCGTAGGAATCATTTAAGGAGCAGGCCATCTCTTTTGGTTTTCCCAACAGGATTTCTCAGTGCAACAGTCCTGGCTGCCCTAGAACTCACTTTGTAGACCAGGCAAGTCTTGAACTCACAGAGATCCACCTGCCTCTGCCTCCCGAGTGCTGGGATGAAAGGTGTGCACCACCACACATGGCTAGGAGTGAGCCATCTTTGTTCCAAACATAAAAGTAGGAATTTAAAGACACTGGCACAGTATTACTGTTGTTTTGTTTGGTGTTTAATTGACTCTAAGAACCATCTGTTAACTTCCAAAATTCATAGCATTGTGAAGAAAAACACTCTGGAATTTTGTGAGCAGAATGAAGTGGATTTGGTGAGATACCGTGATGTAGTACAATGCAGTTAGTTTACAGTGACTTGTATTGAACTGGTCAGACTACAACTGATGGAGAAGACTTGAGAGGCAGCGGAGTGTTCCACCTCACAGCCCAGGAAGACACAAGTGTCTGTTATCACCCGAATGCTTTCCTGTTCTCTAGTCACTGTGCTCATCGTGGCAATGTCCATAAATGCAGCTGACAAAGTCTATCTGCCAATAATGTGGAAAGTGTTTGGTTTTTAGGTAAAGACTGCCATGTCCAGTTTGTCTTGCATCTCATGTTACATGGACTTATGAAACATTAGATTATACAGGAATAAGAGAACAGACATTGGGAGAATACCTTTGAAATGTCCAGGTGAGGTGAGCAGGGCATAAGGCCTCCTTTCTGAGAAGGAAAAACAGAACGTAAGCAGGCCCATGGGCAGGGTGGGGTGACCTTCCTCCTTCTTTGCTCTCATGCCTCTTGACTGTGCTTGAGCCATGTCGAGCACAGCCATTCTGCAGCCGCTGGCCTAGCTGAGCTTGGCGGTGTGCTCAGCCTTCAGGTAACCAGAAGCATCTCAATTCCAATAACAGTATGAGAGTCTAGAGAAAAAAGTTTAGAGAGAACAGACAGAGATGAGACCATGGCTGTTAAGCATCGGTCAGTGGTTTGAGCACTATAGGATGGACGCTCTCAGCTCAGGAATGGCCAGGGACTTACAAATAGATGGGCTTCCTCCAGATGGAAGGAGAGAGAATCTCCCAAGAGAAAAGCTATTGAAACCGGAAAACATTGAGGTGATTATGGATCTGTATCAAGGTTTCCTGGCAAAACTATGGCCCAATTTGGAGGACACTCAAAAGCAACAAGCTAGAAAGATACTTCACTGCATAGGAAAGGGCAAGCTTTCATGAGACTTCCAATGGAGCCAACCTGCCCCCAAGTATTTTCCCCAGGGCAGAGCATCCATCAAACTCCACTGTCTCGTGTCTTCCTCTGAGGCCTTGACTGATCACCTGCAACTGTCATTTCAGATTCATGACAGATGCTGCACGCAGAGAACAGGAGTCCCTGAAGAAGAAGATTCAGCCGAAGCTTTCACTGACCCTGTCCAGCTCCGTGTCTCGAGGGAATGTGTCCACGCCACCACGTCATAGCAGCGGAAGCCTTACTCCCCCTGTGACCCCGCCCATCACGCCCTCCTCTTCATTCCGCAGCAGCACTCCAACAGGTAAGCCCCTTAGCTGGGGACTCAGACCCACAACTCTGACCCTTCTTGCACTGTGTGTCCATTCATCTATTTGTTATCTTTAAGTAGTTATGGAGTATGTGCATGTCTATGGTGATGGTTGCTATGGGTAACGCTCTTGTACACTGCCAAGATTTGTCATTGGATTTAGTCTAATAAAACGCTGATTGGCCAGTAGCCAGACAGGAAGTATAGGCAGGGTGAACAGATTAGGAGAATTCTGGGAAGAGGAAGGGGAAATAAAGGGGTCTCCAGCCAGACATAAAGGAAGCAAAATGAGAATGTTGTACTGAGAAAAGGTACCAAGCCCCATGTCTAAACATAGGTAAGAATTATGGTTTAATTTAAGTGTAAGAGCTAGTTAGTAATAAGCCTGAGCTACTGGCTGAGCATTTATAAGTAATATTAAGCCTCCAAGTCAGTTATTTGAGAAGTGGCTGCTGGGTATTTGGGAACAGGCAGATGAGAAAGAAACTTCTGCCTACAGATAGTTTTATAGGTTTTAAGACCTTACCATTTTGTGTGAACTAGCAATCATGTTTCATCTGCTCATTTTCTTGGCTTGACAAGGATAAGGCACCATGCCAGTTCACCCGTACACAGTAGGGCACGGGAACATTCTTTATACCTGTCTCCTTATTTTTGCTTATTCTTGAAATTTTTCATAATAAAATGAGGAACAAAAGCATACACCTTCTACATGTCAGACACTTCCATAAAAGGAAGCAGCCCTGTCTCAGTCTTACACCTGGTAGAAGACGTTGGCATCTTCTCAAGTGTGGTGGTGATTAAACACTGAGGTAGGGTCAAAGCCAAAGATGAAAATACCAACTCAGTCCCTGCATAAAGCAGACTGTGGGGTGGGGAACTTGGGTCCCTGACAATTGAGTTTTTAGTACATATTTCCCAGATTCATGTTTTCCATACCATCCTTCTAAACTCACACCAGGGTGAGAGCATCCCAGAGCATTGCAGTCCTCAAGCTGATTATATGCCTCACTTCAGGGCAGGGGTGTAAATAGGAGTGGGGTCTGGGAAGGACCTTCTTTGTCTTATCTGAGAAGCAGGGGGCAGATTCTCTCTCCCATTGTAGGAATATGGGCTATCATTAATCAAAGAAGAACCTGAGTAAGTACAGTGTTGTTATCTAGAACTCGGTGACGTGAGCACCTCCAGAGTCGCTAACAATGGAAGAAGAGGCTCATGGAAAGACAGTGGAGTCAGTAAGGCACAGTCGGGGAGGAAGGGGTGTCCCTGGAAAAGAGGGAAAGACGTGTGCTCCACTGTACAGCAGCTTCATGTGGGAAAGCCTGCGTGTCCCACAGCAGGCCACACTGCCACAGAGGAGGCAGCTGAGGTGGTGGCAGAGCCTACATCACCATGGCTCTTTGTTAGAGATTCTGGGCAATTCTAAGAGAAAAGACAAGCCATTTCAGAGGGCACCAGCATCTCCTTAGCATCACCTCCTTGACTGAGATGTACAGGTCCCATATTTTCCCTTTCTCCATCCCCTATCAAGGGAGGTGGCCAGAGTTGTTACTTCTCAGAATGCATTTTGCACATTAATTAACTAATTCACAAAATGTTGGGGTAAAGGACCCTCCAGTGTCTGGGAAGGTGCTAGGTTCAACAAAATTAAAGGAGAGTCCTTAGTGTGAGGCTTAATATGCATGATTATACTCCAAGGAAAGACCCTGGACAGTTCCCAGTCTTAATGGCTGTAATTAGGGGACCTTTCTGGGAGCACTTCCATCTCATGAGACATGAATATCCTTCGTTTATCCACACTTTGAACAAGGAAAGGTGGACCAGAATTTTCTCTGAGTTCTTTCTTCAGAAATGCTATTAGCTTAAGCAAGTCACAAAGTGTTCTAGCTTGCCAAGTGTTAAAGGATTAGTCTCCCAGCATTGTTGGGATGTTTCAGGTCATGGGGGTTGTGACCTCAGGATTCTCCTACATTCTGTTTTGTGAACATTGGCTTCCAGAATCTTTGCTTGGTGTTTTCCATGTAAGTCTGAAGAACAGAATGGGGCATTGAAAGTGCTGGGTCCTCTTCTCTGTGGTCCTCTATAGTATTTATTCATATGGAATATGAATTGTAGGGGCAAGCAGTCTCCAGCAGAATGTGTTTCATACTTGTGGTAATGAGGATTGACTGACTCATGGCCAACACCAGATAAACAGGACTGCCCCAATTAGTAACAGGCACCGTGAGCCCTGTGCATATCAGGACAGTTTGAAGTGAGAGTTTATTATTTTTCATGTAAGAATGTTACGAAGAAATGGAATCATTTCTTTTCCTTCAGTCATAAAGAAATTTTTATAACACCCTGTCCATTTAGCAATTTCCCACCAAAAGAATTAATTTATGTCCTGGGAAGGATGTATCATTTTCAGTCTGTCAGGATCACCGTTAAGTTATTTGCTGCTTGAAGAACATTCCACATAAACATCAAAACTCAGCAAAGGAAACGGTTCCTTAAACCCCTGGCCTGCCCAGCTTCGACTGTGGGTGTTTGCCACTCTTCTGAATGTTATTTTACCTGTAGTTAGGGAGGTCGGCCCTTCTGCTTGGCGCATGTGGTTCTAGTCATTTTCATTGCCAGGTTATAAATATCTTCCCACAGCTATGCCTCCTGAATTCACCCCTCAGCTTCCATACTCACAGTATGTCCCTGGGTGGGAGAGAGTGGTCACTTTGTAGAGCATTTCATTTATAAATATTTTAAGCTATGCTCTCTGAACAGCCTGGAGCTTCCCTCTTCAAATGTTTTTAGGTGGTTTTGGCAGTGACATTTGCTTTGCAGTCTCTTGGAGAATCCGCCACTGCATGAACAGGTGGGCATGACATGTCTCATCAAGAGTGAACACTCTGTAATACAGGCCTTGACCCACAGGCCCAAGTTGAAATCATAGAGATGGGGAAATACTAAGATGATCACAATTCAGTTTTCTGAGACTAAAGTGTCAGGACATTTCCCATGCTTGTCCTTTAGAAATGGCAGCATCAGAATAATTCCTAAGGGGGAGGCAACTCACATTCATGTTCACTATTCATTTCCTGCGTTTTTTCTGTGTGATTCTGTGCTCAGTTCTGACATCAGGCCCACAGGGAGAGCACTGCTACCTGAGTGCGGGAGAAGGAGCCTCTGTGAGAGTCGCTCCACACATTCCCATTCATATCTGCCTTTTCGGAGAGCGTGGTTTCTCTGGTATGCCCACTCCGTGATAACCAGTATTTACACTGACATCTTGAAAACGTCATTGTCATGTTTATTTTGAGCCAGGACTTTGAGTAGACCAGGCTGACCTCAACTTGCTATGTAGCCAAAGCTAGCCTTGAACTCATGATCCTCCTGCCTCCACTTCCAGAGTGCTGAGATTATAAGCATGCACTACCATATCCAGTTTGTTCCTTGAATATTATTCCGGTAATGATTGCTGTTCAGGAATATGGAAGTTCTGCATTTGGACGTATTGTCTATGGACCTGCTGAAAGGCACTGGCCAACTTCTTCAAGTTACATCTTTCTCTCTCTCTCTCTCTCTCTCTCTCTCTCTCTCTCTGTCTCTCTCTCTCTCTGTGTGTGTGTGTAAATAGAGGACAACTTTCAGAAATCAGTTCTCTCCTTCTACTATGGATTCCAGGGACTGAACTTTGGTCATAAGGTTAGGCA